CTGTATACGAATGGTCACATAAATCCCACTGCCAGTGTTTCAGTTGTGAGGACTGTTCAGTTGCCATTTAGTGTGGAGGAGGTGTCACTTGCATCCATTTACTCTGCCTGAGCCCACTTCCCCACCCTTCCTCTGGCAGCAGGGGAGAGAAGAGGGTTCTGAAGGAGGCTAGCAAACCAGATGATTACGTGTATGCATGTGAGGTGCTCACTTGGTCACTCAGAAGCTTAAATGACAATAGTTCAGTTCAGGAAAGAAACGCAAGGATGCTAATGGACTTTTTTTCTACAGGTCATGGAGCCTGCCCACATGTGCAAAATTGGGTCCAGAGCTTCAGGGACCCCATGGGGCAGAGGCAGTAGTCATGCCTTTGCAGTGGTGGTTAGCGTGTGCCCCTTATAAATCAAAACTTCTCTTTTTGTTGTTTTCAGGGGTACTTTTTTCTGTTTCTTTTCTTTCTTTTTTCTAAAGAGACAGTCTTGCTCTGTGGCCCGGGCTGGAGTGCAGTGGCGTGATCATAGCTCACTGCAACCTTGAAACTGTGGGCTCAAGTGATCTTCCTGCTTCATCCTGCTAAGTAGCTGGGACCACAGGTACACACCACCAAGCTGGGCTAACTTTTTAAATTTTTTATAGAGACAGGGTCTGGCTATGTTGTCTAGGCTTGTCTTGAACTCCTGGCTTCAAGTGATCCTCCCTCGTTGCCCTCCTAAAGTGCTAGGATTACAAGTTTGAGCCTCTGTGCCCTGTAGGGGTACTTTTTAAAGAGGGTAGATAAAAGTACATCCTTGACCTGCTGCTTTGTTAGGGAGCGCTGCACAGAACTAACTCTCAGGATTAGATACAGCATCCATCTATTCCATTGTATCTGACAAGGCTTGGCCCACAGATTTTACGTTGCTGTATTCTGGAGGATTCCAAGTAAGTGCTGTCATCATTGTTGTACGAGACTGTCGCAGTTTCTGAACTAGAATGACCAAAGCCCAATTCAGCAGAAAAATAAGTCCAGCAAAACCTTAGGAGGATGTCCTATGGATCAGGACATTTAAGTGGAATTATCTTGGCTTTTAGCCAAGCTGCTGTATTTTTTTATTTTATTTTATTTATTGTTTTTGAGACGGCGTCTTGCTGTGTTGCCCAGGCTGGAGTGCAGTGGCGTGATCTCGGCTCACTTTACCCTCCGCCTCCCAGGTTTAAGCAGTTCTCCTGCCTCAGCCTCCTGAGTAGCTGGGATTACAAGTGCGTGCCACCATGCTTGGCTAATTTTTGAATTTTTAGTAGAGACAGGGTTTCACCATGTTGGCCAGGCTGGTCTTGAACTCGTGACCTCAGGTGATCCGCCTGCTTTGGCTTCCCAAAGTGCTGGGATTACAGGCATGAGCCACCGCGCCCGGTCTGGCCTGTATTTTTTAAAATAGCCAGTGTCAACAGAGAAGTGGACACCTTCTGTTGTGCTGTAACAGAGCACAATTTCATCATCCCTGATTCTGCTTTCTGTTCCTTCTCCACCTTTATCAAATGGTGCCTGGGTGACGAGGTGAAAAATGCAAAATCAATCCAAGTAGCTGGCTTTTGTGTGAAAACACAGACAGAAAAGCACTCTTGTTGTTCTTTGACCTCTGATAAACTCAAATGCATTTGGAAGGTATTCCGAAGTTCAGGTGAGCGCTTCAGTTGAGTTATCCAAAGGCCTGGGCTTCTCATAAAACCCGGGCACTTTCTTAATGTCGAGGACTTGGGTAGAGTGCTGGTGTGTTCCTTCCCTGCCAGGCTGCCAGGCCTGTGTTTTGCTCGAGTGCTCTGAGACAATCAGACAAGCCAGAATGCTCATTGTCAACATATTAATTATGTTCTCTGTTTCCACAGGCTTTTCAGGAGGACTTAATCAGTTGGCGTTTACTAGCCTATTTTGAAAATGCTTTTAGTGGCCATAACCTCACACCTCCCCCACCCCCAAATAGTGTCCTCTTGCCATGCTGACCTCCGCAGGGTGGGTGAGGATTGGGGTGGGAAGAGCTGTTCCTTTTTGCTTTGCTTTCTCAGTTATTTCATAGGAATTGTTTTTTGTTGAAAGAAAACAAGTTGGTGCTAGATACAAGGGCAGATAAAATTGGCTTCTTGGAGAGGAATGTGATTTCCTAAGGGAGAGGTTGAGCTTCGGTTTTATGGGTTGCAGTGTCTCACTGCTGATCCAAGCTTACCATCCTGCTTCTCTTTGGAGTTAGCCTTTTGAGTTTCAAGCCCTGACCTGGTTTGTGACATTTGGCTGCTGGGCTGCCCAGGTGCCTGGGCTCAGTGTGGCCTGGGGATAGAGGGGCACTTGGAGAGGAGCGCAGGTGGTGCTCTGCCGCTGACGTGTCTTAGCGCCTCCTTGCTCCCTGCCTCCTACTCCTTTCTCTTTCGGAAGGGTTAACATGGACAGTATTCCCCATTCTTTCCCAATATTCGCTGTCCATACCCGCTGTGTATTCAGCCAGTGAAAGAGAGCGGCTGTGATCATTTTCAGTGGCAGCTAATGTAGGCGAGAGCTGTGGCCACCAGCTGCTGACTGGACCGTCACCTGGTAGACAGTGGGAGTGGCCCTGTACCTCCTTAGTTACAGCTGGATCTCTTGGAGGAGAACATTTCCCTTGTCCAGAGGGAAGTGAGGTAGATTATTCGTATGTTACAAAAGACAGTAGTTTCTGTCTGCCCAGAAGATAGAATTGTTGCAGCAGTAGCCAGATGACTGCTTCTACCTTCCAAACTGGGTCTATTTAAAGAGGAGGTGCTAAAATAGAGATAGTTACTGATTTTGGGTATTTAAAAGAGATTCAGATTTTCATATAGTTATTAACATGATTAAGAGTTTTCATCACTTATACTAAGAAACATGGATTCGGTTTTTATTATATATTCATGAATAACTATCCTATTAGAGGTTTTCTTTGAAACATGTAATTGTAATCTTGGTTTACTCTAGTGCACACATGGTACCTCATTATTCCTCTAATTTGAGATACATGATAAGGCTTGATTTGTCAGCCACAGGCGAAGGGGAATAGTTGACCGGACTCCACAGTACTTCAAGATTTCGTTTTATATACAAAACTTAAAAAAGATATTTAATTAAAACTAGCTTTTCAATGAGATAATGATCTAACACTTAAGTATTCTCTAGACTTGATGTTAATTCAGTAAAAAACTGTTAAGGACAGTTTTTTTTTCCTTATTTCCGTGTATAAAAAGACAATAGTGATTTTCCAATTTTATTTACTATCTCTTAAGTTACACCTGTCAGAAACATCATATGCTCTGCTTGATTTGGTTTACGTAAATTTTTAGTAGGCAGATGTCGTTAAGGTTCTGCAATACAGTTTTCTAAATTGGAGCATGCCGTAAGAAAATTAATGTAATGTTAGTTTGAAAATCGCTATCCATCATGACCCTAATTCCAATAATCATAGTTTTTGCTTTTCAGATGGCTGCTGCCAGCTTACATGGTTTATAATTTGCTTCTGTTTAACTGCTTTTCATTGAACCTGAAAATTACGTTTTTCTAGACTCTCTGGGAAGAGTTGAAATACTGGCCCTGGTCCTATCTCTGCAACAGACCAATGGTAGAAAGCCATTTATACTTATAGAATCTCAGTTTCCTCATTTTAAAGATGGGAGTATTAGCCAGGCATGGTGGCATGTGCTTGTAATCCCAGCTACTCAGGAGGCTGAGGCAGGAAGATCACTTGAGCCCAGGAGCTCAAGGTGGCTGGCAGTGAGCCATGGTTGCACCACTGTGCTCCAGGTTGGGTCACAGAGTGAGACCCTGTCTCTAAAAAAAGGAGGGAAGAGGCATGGATATCTTTGCCGCACATTGCAGTGTCTTCCTAAGAACCAGTTGCTCTAATGGATATGCTTGTGTGTTGTCACTTGTCGAGCTGTAAATGTTAGGCTGCATTTATTGGTTTACACTGATGGTCGGCTTTTAAAAGTACAATTGAAGGTCTGTTATTGTTTCATTTGTCCAGGTTGAAGCAAATAATTTATAGTATTTACTTGAAAGAGTGTGTGTTTGAAAACAGACAGGCCTGGGTTTGCAGTGTGGCTTCCGTTTACTAGATGGGAAGCTTTGGACACATGTAACTAGCCTCGGTTTTGTTTTTTGTCTAGAAACTGTGTAATATGTTCCTGACAGGGTTGTTGTAGGGTTGGTAATGAGGGTGAGGTGCTTAATAAACGACACCTGTTCTGTAAATTTAGCTAAAATATGAATTATAAGAGCAGTGATTTAAATACATGCAGTTATGGTGCATTAGTCCATTTTTATACTTCTGTGAAACACTAGACTGGGTAATTATTATAAAGATAAAAGGGTTTAATGGACTCACAGTTCCACATGGCTGGGGAGGCCTCACAATCATGGTGGAAGGCAAAGGAGGAGCACAGACACATATTACATGGAGGCCCGTAAGAACCGTGCAGGGGAACTGCCCTTTATAAAACCAGCAGATCTCTTTTGAGACTTACTCACTATCACGAGAATGGCACAGGAATAACCCGCCCCCATGGTTCAGTTACCCTCCCACTGGGCCCCTCCCATGACACGTGAGGATTATGGGAGCTGTAGCTCAAGTTGAGATTTGAGTGGGGATCCATATGGTATGGGGAACCATATCATATGGTCTCTCCCTAATTTTCTTTTTTCTTTTCTTTATTTTTTTTGAGACAAAGTCTCACTCTGTCACCCAGGCTGGAGTGCAGTGGTGCCATCTTTGCTCACTGCAAGCTCTATCTCCTAGGTTCACGCCGTTCTCCTGCCTTAGCCTCCCGAGTAGCTGGGACTACAGGTGCCCGCCACCACGCCTGGCTAATTTTTTGTATTTTTAGTAGAGATGGGGTTTCACCGTGTTAGCCAGTATGGCCTCCATCTCCTGACCTCGTGATCCGCCCGCCTCGGCTTCCCAAAGTGCTGGGATTACAGGTGTGAGCCACCGCGCCCGGCCCCTAATTTTCTTTTCAGTACAACTAATGTTGGTGATATTTGTGCCAAAAAATATTGCTATTTACATCTGGCCTGCTCAGTGATGTGCAGGCCTGGTTGCATCTAGCCCTTGAACAGTTTTCGTCACCTGTAACATATGTATGAAAATGTAGCATTTAACATTAGGGTGGATGTGGGTTCTCCTATTGCAAAGTCTGAAAGCTAGAGAGGTTTTATACCTGGAAGCTGTATCTTGCATCTTAGGGCTATATTGCATTTTTAAAACTTTTGTCTGAGTTAAGATAATCCCAGGCATTAATGACTCTGGAAGGCTTTCTGGAAGGAAAAGCAACCACAAACCATTCTTTTCATGAACAGAATGGCCAAAGTCACTGTATATTTGTATGTAGGGATATACATATACATATATTGACTTAGTGTTGAACATTTAGTGATTATTGCTTGTATTAAACCGATTTGTATTAATGACTCAGTGAAACAATTACCTCTTTACTCAGAAACAAGCATTGCTATTAGGTTCTTAAAGTCTGATCCATTAGTTTCATGGATGGGGTGTGAATCAACCTTGATGTTGATTTTTGAAGATTCAGAACTAACTTCCCACTCCATTGAAAGAGTGACAACCACAAGGCTCATTTTAAAGCGTTCAGTCTGCAGTTGACCTCCTCTAGGAGTGGGTAGTGCAGGGGTACAGCTCCCATAGGGCGTCATCAAAGCCTCAGTGATCAGGCGTCAGTAACAGCCTCCTCTTTGTGGAAGATTTCTGGAAGGTTGGCAAGCACTGTCCTGAAAGAGCTGTGTTCTCTGGTCCCCTGAAGAGCCCAGACCACCCATTCTGTTTATGCATGTTCAGCTGATCAGCTCCTATGCTCAGTTCAGTAACTTCCAGTTCCAGCAGATCTTACCACAAAGACCAGGATTTACCAGGAGAGATTTCCATGGAGGAAAAAAGAAATGAAACTCGGTTAGAGTTCACAACATTTTCAGTGTTAAGATTGATCTTTCTTAAGACATACTAGGACATCTTATATTTTTAATATTTTCATCATTGGTATAGAAATTCTGTAGGAACATTTAGGAGCCAAGAAGAAGAACATTTTATGCATTTGACTACTAGGAAGTTGGTGAAGCTTTCTTCTTTAACATCTGTTCTCCTTGGTAGCCTATTGAAACAGGCTCCAGTTGAGTCCTGGTCAAGTGAGTAGCTCATTCTCTTGATGGGATAGTGTAGGCAGAGTGGAGAGAACCTACAGGCTGGATTGGGGGATGAGTTGCCATATCTGTGCCCTGTCCAGTCGACCATTGTGTATAGCTAAGGTTGACTGAAGCATCTTCGTCACCCCATTTTGTGCCAACTCTTATTTTTCCATAAGGATTCTCAATTTTATTTGTTGTGTTTCTTGTACTTAATCTTACCTAGGATAAACACATCTTCAGGAGATTTCTTTTTGTTCTTTTTTTTTTTTGTCTGAGGCTCAGATGTTGGGCACGTTGTTTTATATTGTTAGTCAATTCCTGGTTTTAAGAATAAATACAGGATTAGCATGAGTGGTAAGAATCCAGGAACAAACTAAATAGCAGGACAAGAATGGACAATTAGGGTGTCTAAGTGTAGGAGATACTTTTTTTTCTTGAACCTTAATATTCATTGAATAAAGTAAATGGGAATAACCAAGTGCATGCTATTCTGGAGGCATCTGAAACATCAATTATGAAACCAGTCAAGAAAATCCCTAGAGTGTTTTCTTAATCTTCCTCCTTCCAAAGTGTTCCTCCTTTCAATCTTGTGTAACACTTCAGTAGCGTGAATCTCTCATACCTGCAGCTACATCTGTAGGTTTGGGAAGAAGCTTTCATCATTGGGCTGCAAGGCTGGAACAAAGCGAGCATGCAGTTGTGTCTGATGTTAGTTGCCTTTCTGACTTGGTCTTTGTAAGTGTTCACTGGCGCACCTGTGTGTTCATTCAGCAGTATTTACTGAGGGCCTACTGTGTGCTCCATGCTGCTCTGGATGCAGAGAGAAGCAAGACAGACAAGCCTGCTCCCCTCTGAAGCTTACCTTGTTAGTGTAGGTGACAGTAAGTAGGAAAAAATACCAATACTATTAGATGGCACTTAGAGGTGGGAAGGAAACAGAGCCAGCAAGAAACTAGAGACTTGGGGGCTGATGAGGGTGGTCAGGGGAGGCTTTGCATGACCTCAGATTATATGATGGAATGAACTCTGCAGAGATCTGGAGTGGGAGTGTTTTCAGAAGTGGGAATAGCAGGTAAGGTCTTGAGGCCTGAAGAAGCGAAGTTCCGAGCAGTCTCAGACCCTGCAAGGCTAGTCGTGGGCAAGGAGGGAGTGTGGCCAGGAGGCCCTAGGAGGCCTGGAAAGAAGGAAGCCCCTGGAGGGTTTGAGAAGGGAGTGAGGTGGTCTGATTTGCACATTAAAAGGATCACTCTGCTGGGTGGGGGACAGACTATAGGAGGATTAAAGGGCCAGCTGGGCAGTGGGCACCTGTGTGTCTCCACTTACATCTGTGTGTGGCTCCCCTCCCCCAGGGATGGAGGCCTGGACCAGGGTGATCCGTCCAGAAGGGGCACAGCTCTGGCTGAGGGCTTGGCTGCAAAATGGGAGGGAAGGGAGGGCCAGGAATGACTCCTTGGGTTCTCCTGTATTCACGGTACATTCCTGTGGACAGCAAAGGGTGAAGGTGTGGGAAATACAGGATGGGTGAATGGGAAAAAACATACTCAGTGTGTATTTAAAATAATGGAAAATGTCTCATTTGTGGATAGAGTCGCTTAGTCGATGCTGAGATGCGTCTTGTGGAACAGAATTTTTGGGACATTTGCAGGTATGTTACAGTTCCAGGGCAATTAGCAGTTGTTATCCTACTGAAGTGTATGTTCTTTGAAGGCAGGGTCCCTATGATTCATCTTAGTACCTAGATTATGCCTTAGAGATAAAGGCTTAGGTCAATGTTTGGTTTGAATCGAAAGGTTCGATTATCTGCAGAGTTGATTTTATTTGATTATGTACGGAGATGTTGGGAGTGGGATAAGTTCTGAGAGGCCACAGTGAATAATCCAGTTTTTTAGCTTCTGGTTACATAAGATTTGACCAGATACTCAGTTATATTATCTCGTGCAAATTTCCAGAGGTTCTGCTGCCTGTCACACAGGCGTGGCCATGAGCTGATGGGTAAGCATGCAGGTTTTCGATATTTAGTATTGAGGAGCGGGGATGAAGGAGAGACACACCATCCTTTTTTGATGTACTTGGCTCATAAATCTTCTCTGTCTGGTTTGCATAGGATGAGTTAGATGAACTCCGTGCTGAGATGGAAGAGATGAGAGACAGTTATTTAGAGGAAGATGTTTACCAGCTGCAGGAACTTCGGCGAGAACTGGACCGTGCTAATAAAAACTGCCGAATCCTGCAGTACCGTCTTCGGAAAGCTGAGCAGAAAAGCCTGAAAGTGGCTGAGACAGGTCAGGTGGATGGCGAGCTTATCCGAAGCCTGGAGCAGGACTTGAAGGTGAGTGAGAGGGGTGGTGCGTGCACCCCCGAGGCTGCTGTGGACTGGCTGGCCACGTGCACATTGCCCTGGTGTTTTTTCCCTGCTTGTGCCTGTCTCTACAGATTGCAGCAGAAACAGTCTTGGTTTGCTTTATGGCTTATGGAGTGTGTGTAGTTGTGTGACTTTGACAGCCTAAGGTTTTAATTTGTCATAATATTAACTTTTAAAAAATGATAATAATCTGCGATAACAAAGAATTAATACATGCCAATGGGTCTGACAATTGGATAGAAATTCTGCAGAAACTCTGAAAGATCTGAAATTAAAAAAAAAAAATCTATTGTAAAAAAAATCTGTTCTCAGTGTAGTCAAAGGCCACTCGTAAAAGTTGACCATATCACTTCACATTTTTTATTGTTATTTAGGTTTCTAGGATGCAGAAATCCTGACATTCCCATAACGCAAGCGAGACTTGTGTAGTGAGGATCTAACACCAGGAGAAATCACAAATTGTCTAAAGTGTCTTTGAGAACCACTGGGAGAAGTGGGAATAATGGGAAGAAATCCCAGACTTTATGCCATTTTCTCTCTGTGGGCAGCGAGGCCCTCATGACCTGATTATCAAATCATTTATCTAGAGATGAATTATGCATACTGTTCTCTTTATTACCAGAGTACTTGTGAAATCTCATCTAGCCTTTCAGTGTGATAACAGGAAAAGAACCTCTGTAATTCTACCAAAGTTATAAACCACTAACAAAATGTCATTCAGTGTAATAAAGAGTGATTTATATTTCTCTTACAAGGCCTCTTTCCTCATTTGCTTTTAGAAAGTAAACATGTTTAACTGCTTTGCTCATTCAAATGGTTTACCATACCAGAGCCACAGTACAAAATTTAAAACTTGACTACATTGAACATCTTAAGCATGCAGCATTTTTTTTTTTTATTATTTTAGACACAGGATCTTGTTCTGTCACTCAGGCTGGAGTGCAGAGGCACCATCATAGCTCACTGTTACCTCAAACTCCCTGGGCTCAAGCGACCCTCCCATCTTCACCTCCCGAGTAGCTGGGACTATAGGCACCACCATGCCTGGATTATTTCTTATTTTTATAATTTTTTTAGAGATAGGGTCTCACTGTGGTTCCCAGGCTGGGCTCAAACTCCTGACCTCAAGTGATCCTGCTTTCTTTGCCTCCCAAAGTGCTGAGATTACAGGCAACTTATTTGTTTTGTTAGCAGGTGGGTTCGATATTACTTTAGTGAATAGAAATGTTTATTTGTTTACTATTATTTAAATTTCTCCCTTAAAGCCCGTGAACCTGGGCAGAATTGGCATGCGTGGTGACCATCTATGGGGGAGGAGGGTTATCCAAAGTGGGCTTTAAAAACTATTTATTTTAAAGCCATTTAACTTTAGCAGTTCGGGGGGTTGTATACCAACTTCAGTGACAGTAATGTTAGCACGTTCTGATAATGCACCACTATCAGACCAGCCAGAGTGGCCTTTTAGTCCAGATGTTGATTTCATTTTTAAACGAATCTCCTCCTCCTCTTAAAAACAAGTCAGTTATGTACTGCCAGGGTCTTTGCTGTGTGGTGTAATATATTAATGATTTTGCCTCTGACGTTGTCTGATAGTACCCTTAGCACACACAAAGCCTCATATCCTGATAACGATCTCTGTGGGTCGATGCAGGTAGCCAAAGATGTATCTGTCAGATTGCACCACGAACTGAAGACGGTGGAGGAAAAGCGCGCTAAAGCTGAGGATGAAAATGAAACTCTCCGACAGCAGATGATTGAAGTAGAAATATCCAAACAGGCCCTCCAGAATGAGCTGGAGAGACTGAAAGAGGTAATCCAGAACCGTGGGGCTCCTGCCCCTTTGGATTTAATAAGGAGGAGCTTGGAACTCCAAGTGCCCCCTTCTCATTGTGGTCGAAAGCCGGGGTTGGCAAACCGTGGCCTGTTTGGCTCAGAAGTTAGATTATTTTTACATTTTTTTCCTAGCATGGTAAACAAACAAGCAAACAAGCAAAACTCGCAGGAAAGAAAGCCCCCAAAAGTAAAGAAGGCTATGGATTCAATACTGTGTGATGCTTGCAAAGCCTAAAATATTTTCTATCTGGCCCTTTATAGAAAAGGCTTATTGGGGCCTGGTCTAAAGCTAGTTTTTGTAATTACCACTCAGATGAGCTGACCATTAATTCCTTTGATGTGTCCAAGTGGAGGCTATTATTGCTAGAGTACAGAATTAAGAAGGAGCTTTTTTCCCCAGAGTCTTCTCCAGTGAACTGGAAAGTATGTTATGGTTGTCTATGAAAGCTGTGTAAACAGACAATGTATGTATGCCACCTGTGTAGCTAAAATGAGTTAAATATAGACATTTTTAAATTTTAGGGAGTGATTTTTCTAGCAAAGTAGTCTGGAAAATGAATATTTTTTTTTTCATGTGCATACAGCAATGCGAATCCTGTTTTGTTATTGACTTCCATTATAAGATTAAAGCAGAGTGTTTTCTTGGAAAATGTCCTGCATGTGTTGAAATTAAAAGCCTTTGGCGAAGGCTTTAAGCTTACAGTGAATTCTGGCATGTTACCTGCACCTGCCAACAGCCTTGCTTAGCGGCTCATTTTTCCTTTGGAAACGTTTCCTGATTCACACGGTTCTTCCAGATCCATGCTCCCTTCCATCCGCCACACCTGGTTCTGGCCCGCAAGGCTCTGGGTGGAGTTGTGCGTGTGTGGTGCAGGCCCTGCTCTCAAGGTGCCTCCATTTCAATCAGGTGCATAGATAATAAACAAATCACAGCAAAGTACAGGTGTGCCCCTCTCTGCTTCTGCCCCCGCCCCTCTGCTCACAGCTGCCTCGGCCTCCCTGCTCTTCGCACGCATATCCTCACCGGAAGGTTCTTTCTCCAGGCACTCACCTGTGGCTCATTCCCTTATCTCTTTCGGGTCCTGAGATTCACTCAGCCCCTCCCCTCAACACTCGTGAAATTTGTCCCCATCTCCACCCTGGCCAGCCCTGTTCACCTTCCCATCTGACATATGCATTCTGGGACATTATTTGTCTGTTGTCACCGCTTATCTGACAATGCTGTGTTTTCTTTCTCTTTCATCCCTCCCCTCCTTTACTGGTGCCCCTTCAGATCACTAGCTCTGTGGGGCAGGGACCGGGGCTTTGTCTGTCTGGCTCACTGTGGGGCCCTCATGCCTGGAACATGCTGGGTGGAGGAATGAATGAGGGAGCAGAGCATAGAGCTGTGTGATCAGAGCGTGCCTGGGAGATGAGGTGGCCTCCCAGAGGAAGAGGTTAGCTTCTGGGAGTTTGCTTTCATCACAGGTAACCCTCAGCCCTTTACTTACACTTGTATCTGCTCCCGGGACTCCAGGAATTTGTCCTCTAACCGAGGATCTCTGCCTCAAAGTACCAGTTGCTGGTACTTTACTTCCCTCCCATTCCTTTGTTCTAAGTTTGCTGGAATAATTTCCTTTCTCAGTTTGAGCCTGACCTTAACAGTTAGAGGGTAGAGAAAATAGTTTACAGTTGACTCTGGAACAACGTGGGGATGGGGGGCATGGGGGTCACCTCCTGTGCAGTTGAAAATCTGTGCATGTCTTGTAGTCCTAGAGACCAGGGAGGCAGAGGCGAGAGGATTGCTTGTGCCCAGGACTTTGAGGCCGGCTTGGGCAACACAGCAAGACCCTGTTTCTTAAAGAAAAAAAGAGAAAATAATGTATATAGCTTTTGACTCCCCCAAAACTTAACTAATAATAGCCCACTGTAGACTGGAAGCCTTACTAATATAAAATGGCCAGTCAACACATATTGTGTATGTTGTATGTATTGTGTACTGTATTCTTATAATAAAGGTAGAAAAAAGAAAACATGGTTAAAATCAGAAGGAAGAGAAAATATATTTACTATTCATTAAGTGGAAATGGACCACCGTAAAAGTCTTCATGCTCTTAGTCTTCACGTTGAGTAGATAGAGGGGGAAGAGGAGGGTTTGGTCTTGCTGTCTCGGGTGGCATAGGTAGAAGATTTGAGTGTAAGTTGACCTTCACAGTTCAAACGTATGTTGTTCAAGGGTCAACCATAGAAGTATATTTTATAAAATTTTATATGTGTATACATTTGTGTATAAATATATAAACATATAAATCTATATTTTAAGTAGGTGAAGATTCTTTTGCATATATTTAAATGGATTTGTGTAGGACTTGGCATCTCATTGGAGGAAGAAACGATTATTGTTGCTCTTGACATTCAAAAGCAAGGCCAGGGTGAGACAAGGATCTTCAGAGAGCCTGATGCTGGCTCAGGGTGGATGTGAGGAGAGAATGGAGAGGGATCAGCCCTCCCTTTGTAGGTTAGAATTACTGAGAGGAATTGTTCAATTAGGATGAAATAAGTATTTTACTTCCAGAGCTGCAGTCAGGGTGGAGGGACTGCATATTTACACCAAACTTCTAAATGAATCATAAAACTGACAGGAGTCCCAGGAGGGTTAGATGCTGGTAGATTAAACTGGAAGCAGAGAACAATGGCATCTCGTGATACAAGTTTCAAAGGTGGTGGAGGAAATATTTTTTGGAAGATGAGAATGGGTTCTTTTTGCAAAAGCCAGTACAAACAGGCTAAGCTTTGCTCTGGGGTGACGGTAATATTTTTTCTATCCTGAGCCTCACTTTTTGTTGTTCACCCCTGGAGTTTTGTAAATGGATGTGTGACCTGAAAACGGCAAGGACACTTCATGGGTTGTGTGTCTGAGCAGCAGCAGTTGTCGCAGGTGTGTGTGTATCCCCTCGGTCTCAGGGGTCTGTGAGACAGCATCTCCATGCTTTGTTTCCTCTGGAGCCACCACTCCCTTCTCTCTGAAGCTCTAGACTGTTTTCAGCTGCCTAGTGGACATCTCCAATAAGAGTTTTTCCTAGCACTTTAGACTCTGTCCAGAACAAACTCATCGCCCCTTGCGCCACCCTGCACCTGCTCTGTCTCCTATTTGTGTAATGGTCCCTGAGTCCTTTCAGTCCCCAAGGCTGACGATGGCGCTACCCTTAACCCTCTTCTCCCTTCCTCAGCTGCTTGCTCTGTGCTGTAGGTTCGGCTTTTGCAGGCTTTGGACATTTCTTTCTCACTGATACCTGATAGAACATGGATGAACCTTGAAAATATGCTAAGTAACAGAAGCCAGACATACTCTGTGATTCCATTGATAAGAAATATCCAGAGTAGATGAATTCATATAGATGGAAAACAGATTCGTGGTTTCCAGGGGCTGGGGACAGGGGAGAGGTGGAACCAACTGCGTAATGGGCGGGCGGTTTCCTTTTGGGGTGATGAAAATGTTTTAGAACGAGATAGATGTGGTGGCTGCACAACACGTGAGTGTACTAAATGCCACTGAGTTGTGCCCTTGAAAATGGCTTGTTTTCTGTTACGTGAATTTTAACCTCAGCACTTTGGGAGGCTGAGGTGGGTGGATCACCTGAGGTCAGGAGTTTGAGACCAGCCTGGCTAACATGATGAAATCCTGTTTCTACTAAAAATACAAATATTAGCCAGGCATGGTGGCGCGCACCTGTAATCCCAGCTACTCGGGAGGCTGAGGCAGGAGAATTGCTTGAACCCAGGAGGCCGAGGTTGCAGTGAGCCAAGATCATGCCATTGCACTCCAACTTGGGCAATAAGAGCGAAACTCCATCTCAAAAAAAAAAAAAAAAAGATTTTTCTTTCCCAGTCTATCCATACTTTTACCAGTCCCCCACCTCAGACGAGTATTTGAGAGCTGACAGTGTGGGCTGACCACGCACGTTGAATGTATACACGATTTCTAGTCCTTTCCTGTTCTCGCTGCATGCCAAAATTCTGACTATCTCACTCTGCTTAGACAGACAGACCTGCCTTGGCTTGTCTAACTCTTTCGCATGACGCAGCAGCCTATTACCCTCTGAGCCATCCCTGGCGCGCTGTTGGGTTTGCCACTCCAGGGCTGTAGACGTTGGCCTGAAATGGAAGAGCGGTTTAGAAGGATGACGGGGACTGTGCGCTCTAATTCTTTTTGAACTGCTAGAGGTGTGTCTTTGAAAAGTTACTTTCTCTATTGATAAAAGAGGGCCGATCTGGCTAAAATTGTCCCTTCCCACTAGCCAGCTTCTCACTGGCATCCTGTGCCTGTTCACTCTTGGAGTCTGTGACCCCAGGCACCTACATGCCCTCTGCTTGTACCAAAGCTCAAACAATTTTCATCTTTTTTTTTTTTTCCTGATATATTTCTTCTAGTATTCAACTCTACCTATAGTGGAGACTCTCAAAAAGTAGAAAACAGTTAACCTTGGCTTAGTTTCCACTTCTTAGATTGCCCTAATTCTTTCACTGAACAATATTTCATTCTACCCCCAATTTTTAGAGTTCTATTACATGCTAGACACAAATAACAACTAGCCAGGTTAGCCAGCACTTATAGGGATGAGAGACATGTTCTAGATCATTCCGGTGAGCTCAGGTTATTGAAAAGAGTCCCAGGGAACCAACTAAGAGATGGCTTCTTGTGGCCGCCTTTTCTCAACCTCAGAAAATGACATGGATTCCCTGGGTTTGGTTGAGACTTCTTTTGTGCATAGTTAATCCTCAGATTTTGTAATAATTCCTGTGTGCTTGAGAGGAACGTGTTTTGGGGTGCAGACTTTGATTTAAATCTATTAGATTGAAGACTTCAAACTTCAATTGTAACCCACAGCAAAAAGGGCATCATCACTCAATATACAACTATAAACAAAAGTTTTTTTTTTTTTCCCGCTATTCTTGCCTATATTTGCTGTTTACATTTTTTTTTAAAATTTATTTATT